CGCCACTGCTTAAACTGAAGCTAACAGGTAGAAATCCGTAACTAAGGCTATCCAATGTTAAATTTATTTCTATTATATAGACTATATCATGATGTTTCTTACGAAAGAATGTAAGAAGTACACAGGAAATGGTCAAAGAGAGAAAACCAAAGTGCTAAGGAAGAAGAGGAAATGCTAAAAAGGACATTCTGAAGGCCTTTACAATTCCCTTTTCTGCTTTTAAGATTTTCTGGGCAATTTGATTACCATGAGTGTTAGGGTAGTTTTCTTCGTTTCTCATGCTTCACTGAGCTTCTTGGATGTGTGGACTTATAGTTTTTGTCAACTTTGGAAATTTCCATTGTTTCTTTCTATATTTTTTTTTGTACGTCTTCACTTCACTCCTTAAGAGACTCTGATTACACACATATTAGCACTTGCTGTTGTTTCACAGCTCATTGACAGTCTTTTCATTTTTAAATGATTTTTTTCTCTCTGTGTTTTACTTTGGATAGTTTCCATTGGTATGTCTTCAAGTTTACCGATCTTTTCTTCTGCAATGTCTAATCTCCCATTAATGCCACCTACCGTACATTTCATCTTACATACTGTAGTTTTCACCTCCAGAACTTGGATTCGGATCTTCTTTTATATCTTCCATGTCTCTATTTAACTTTTTGAACATATTGAATATAGTTATAAAAATTGCTTTAATGTCTTCACCTGCTAATTTTAACTTCTATGAATGTGCCATTTTTTCTTTCTTTTTTTTTTTTTTTGGTGAGGAAGATAGGCCCTGAGCTAACACCCACTGCCAATCTTCCCCTTTGCTTTGGCTGAGGAAGATTAGCCCTGAGCTAACATCTGTGCCCATCTTCCTCTATTTTGTATACAGGATGCTGCCACAGCATGGCTTGACAAGCTGTGCATAGGTCCGCACCCGGGATCCGAACCCACAATCCACAGGCTGCCAAAGCAGAGCATGTGAACTTAACCACTACGCCACCAGGTGGGCCTCTCATTTTTTCCTCTTATCATAGGTATTACCCTTCTTCCTTCACGTCTGATAATCTTCAATTGCATGCCAAACATTGTGAATTTTGCTTTCTGGGTCCTGGATATTTTTTATTCCTATATATATTCTTGAGATTTGTTATGAAATGCAGCTAACTTACTTGGAAATAGTCTGATCCTTTCAAGTCTTGCTTTTAAGATTTTTAGGCGGGATCATTGCGGCAGTTAGGCTTGGCATAATTATTCTCCATTACCAAGGTAAGACTCTTCTGAGTACCCTACCCAATGCCTAATGAATTGAGATTTTTCTGTCTGGCTGGTGCAAATAGGCAGTCTTCCTGGCCCTGAGTGAGCACTGGTCACTATTCTTTCTAATCTTTCAGATGGTTCTTTCCCTAGTCTTGGGCAGTTTTCTCACAGGCATGTGCTGGTCGGTACTCTAGTGAATAATCTAGGGGTGCCCTCTACAGATCTCCAGGTTTCTTTCTCTGTGTACCTCTCTCTCCTTCAATACTCTGTCCTATGAACTCTACTGCCTTGGTCTCACTGGACTCTCAGCCTGTATCCTCAACTCAGGAAGTCTGCTGGTTTTACCTGAGTCCTCTCCCGATGCCATGGTCATGAAACTCTCTCAAACCAGTAAGCTGGGTAACTATAAGGCTTACCTCATTTGTTTCCCTTCACTCAGGATTACTGTCCTTTGTGATCTGATGTTCAATGTTTTGAAAACCACTGTTCTATGTATTTTGTAGGTTTTTTTTCTTAGGGCATGTATGTGTTGAGGTGGAAGGAGGTTGTTTCAGGTAGGAGGGTGAGTCCAGACCCTGTTACTCCATGTTGGCCAGAAACAAAAACCCTCATCAAAAATTGTAAGTACAGAATTGCCAAGCTGTCAACAATTGTGTGCTTAAACTTTTCAAACTTCTTTCCATTGATACAAAGCAGTCCTAGATAGAAAACTAAAAACTAAAAATAAATTTACCAGACTCTGTAACAGCCCTTATTTCTCATCTTCATAATGAAACAGGCATTTAAACAGCTAAATTTAAAATATTTTTCTTACCATTTGCCAGGTGCTTTATATTTATTATGTACTTCAATTCTCATAATAATCTTTTAATATAGGCAGTATCATCCTTATTTTAGAGCTATGGAATCTAAGACTCAAGAAAGTTAATTAGCTATTATCCTCATGTATAAACTATTATCCTTATGTTTAGGTGTAAAGAACTTATACATAACTGCAATCAGTGAAACTCTATCAGTCGGCATTCTATAAACACTGGGTGTCAAAAAGCAAATTTCCCCTGACCTTTATTTTGATATGGCTATAATGAGGAAATGGAGATTCAGTTCCACAAAGTTAAAGGAACCGTTTTTTTTTTTTTTCTTGACAAAGAACATGGACAAATGACTTTATCAGCCTATAGAGATGCCTATTTTGAAGGTCAACAAATCTTGGACAACACAACAAATCAACATTTTTTCAATAACTTGAATTAAGCCATTGAAAGCCTATGAAGGAGAGTTATGTAATAAATAGCAGAATCAAGATACGAAATCTCAAGATCTCACTATTCTGGAACGATAAGAAAAAAGAAGTCAACATGAAATGCTTGACAGGAATAAATGAAAAGACTTTTTTTAGGTAAAAATTATACAAATAATATAGAAGTATAAAAACAGAAAACATAACAATACAATGATGGTGCAAAACCAAACAATGCTCCCTGCTTTAACCTCTCCCGCCACCACGTACACACTAAAATGAAGTATCTATGTACAAGAGATACATCTAAAACAAAGGGACTCAGAAAGGTTGAGAGTAAAATAGTGGGCATATATTACTTGGCCAGTAAAATATTATATTTGGACATATAACGGTAAAAGATAAAATTCTCAATAAATAGCTCTCATGAATTTTTAGGCATTAAGTAAAAATAGTGTCAACAATTAGATAGCAAAACTTTAGAGATATAGGGAAATAAAGAACTGTAACAGCGATAGACTTTAACTCAGCTTTTTCAGCCTCTGACTGAAGGAGACAAAATTAAGAATATAAATTATGTAAATAGCATAATTAACAAGGTAGTCCCAATAGTTACATATCCAACTCTATAGATCTAAACCAAAATTTGCAACTTTCTTTCCCTTGACCATGGAGCATTTATAAAACTGACCATGTATTAGTGCACCAAGAAAACCTCAATACATTTCAAAACGTAGAAACATATAATCCATATTGTTTTTACATTTGGAAAAGTTCTTACTAAATTAATATGGTGCTTCTTTGTGCACATTACTTTTACTTGATAGTAATTAAAATGACTATTTTTATATTTAAACATCTATGGGATACATAGAAGAATAAAATATATAAATTACATGAATTTTTAAAGATAAAGCAGAGACTCAAAGAAATTGTATTCATGGGATGACTTCAAGCTGTCTCTTCTCTCCTCAATCCTTCATTCCTCTCTGCTAATAGGAAAATTGGGCAGAAACTTTGAGAAAATTTGTGAGGGTATTTCTTTTCACAGTTTAGTGAAATTTACAGTCAGTAAATCCCTAGTAAGATGGAGTTAATAGGCTTAAATTGTCATCTCCTTCCCCATCTTATGCATAGGAAATTAATGAATACTGGCCTATGCTAGACCCAGAGTTTCTCTTCTGATGGCATTTAAGGCCCTGGGCCAGGTCTTTAGAGGAAGGTTTTTGGAAAGAGGGCATGTCCTGATTTCCCTCAGGGCAAAGGAATCTGCCTATTGAGCTACACTCTGAGCTTCTCTGGGTGAGACCTGTGTCTTATTTACTTTTATATCCCCAGTACTTGCCTGAAGACTTGGCACACAGTAGGTGCTCTGTAAGTGCTTATTGGATACATAATGTAAACTTCCTCTTACTTGTTGGCAAGTAAGATGGATTTAGGGACACTGAACCTCTTCTGCCAGCACCAGCCCTCAGGGCAGTGGTCAGGGAAAAGTTCCAGCTCACAGGATGAATGACTATTCCTATCTTCTCTATGTTGGCCTCAGCTCTAGGGCTAGGGAGGCCCCTCCCACTGGTGTTCAGAGCATTCCAGTGGAGGGTGAGTAAGAGGGTGCCTGTGGCTCTAGCTTGCAGCAGGCACCCAAGAATAGAATGGATTTGACATGTCTTGTATGTCTTGTTTACCTTTGCTTCCTTTGTCTCTTCCAGTTGTGGAAAAGTTCAACAGGGGAAAGAAGGAAGGACTAGAGACATAATTTAAGAAAAGGATGATTGGAAAACATCCTGAAGTCACCTATCCCCAAATATTCTCTCTATAGGCAGGGCCAACAGACACAGTGCAGGAGGGGGGTAGTCAATGGGCGCCAAGGATGAGGGGAGATAAAGAACTGAAGAAAAGTGATGCCCCTCAGAAAAGTGTGTGTGCAAATCATCTAACTACATTAAAAACACCATCCATAAGAAACGAATTTGAGAATTATTTTATTAAGAAATATATAGTGTCTATTACAAAGCAATACGTACATGTGCTTACAAAATAAATTAAAATATATTCCATAAAGTTAAAAATATATATATTTTAGCTTTAACAAAGGCACTTCTTCAGGATCTGCTTGCATACACCACTCTTGTCTATTAGGTAATTTCTAAAACTTGGCTTAGAATACTTTCACAATATTTTGTTTGGAAATTCTTTCAGAATGCTTCAATATGTGTACAACTTCTTGTGCACCCCCTTTCGCTTTTATCTTCTTTTGTAAACTTTCAGTATGAGAACATGAGAATTATCAGTGCGTGTGGAAGAAATGCCTGCCTTTTAAACAAAGGTTTACATGCTATTGAGTTCAACTTTTTTCCTTTTTCGAGGGAAAAAGTTCTCCTTCTACTACACTTTTAGATTCTTCCCTTGAGCAAGGATTATGTAGTTCCTGCTGAGAATTACCGCCACAAAGCCAGTGGCACAGGCGTTAATGCTACAGAAGTCTCCCCCGACGATTGAGGCATGGTACTTCCCCTGCATTGCAAACCTATATTAAACAATAAAAGCTTACAAAAATAAGTTAAGGAACTCTTCTGCAATTAAAAAATAACCATAGTGGTCTTTGAAATGTCACAGTTAGAGTTAATGTTCTATGTACCTACTAAAGATAATTTATTTTGTTGCTGTGAAATATGACTTTAATGAAGATTTGTTTCTACGGAAGCGACTGAAATGACGCCACAATTCTATTAAGTTTGAGACTTGTGTAAGGCATTTGTTTGCTGTGACTTCTCTTTTCTTTCTTTTCTTCATTGCCTGGGTATTATTTATCTGTGGAATAAGAGAATCAATGGTCAAAATTAATTGTCATTATCTTTAACATCTGTTGAGTGGCAAGTTCTACTGTCTTCTCCATGCAAATCCATCTCTCAGTGCACCCCCCAAACATTTACTTACTATCTGCTGATCTGTGCTTTCTCCAGAGGAACGCCCTTCCATCTCTCCACCCATCTCCTCTGGCTTCAAGGCCAAGCACCACCTCCTTCACAAGGCCTCTGCTAACTGTTCAGACCTTTCTTTTGGAAATTCTTTTTTTTTTGTTTGTTTGTTTGTTTTTGTGAGGAAGATCAGCCCTGAGCTAACATCCACACCAATCCTCCTATTTTCGCTGAGGAAGACCGGCTCTGAGCTAACATCTATTGCCAATCCTCCTCCTTTTTTCTCCCCCCAAAGCCCCAGTAGATAGCTGTATGTCACAGTTGCACATCCTTTTAGTTGCTGCATGTGGGACGCAGCCTCAGCGTGGCCGGAGAAGTGGTGTGTCGGTGTGCGCCCGGGATCCGAACCCGGGCTGCCAGTAGTGGAGTGTGTGCACTTAATCACTAAGCCACGGGGCCGGCCCTGGAAACTCTTCTAATGCTTCCAAGTGTGTTTCATGTAACCTGGCTCTCACTCACACGTTGTTTTTATTATTGCATCATGGGTATTCCCCAGAGTGCTGAGCACGATGTCTTATACACAGGAAACACTGAATATTTATTGAATGATTAAATGAATGAATAAGTTGCTGATTTCATGATCTCCCCGACAAGATCATAAGTTCCTCAAGAACAAGACTTATCTTATGTCTCTTTATAGATATAATTAAGTAAACCTATTATTTGGATCCAAAGTGCTCCCGACTTCTGCCTCTCCCACCGCCTACATGTGCCACAGACACCTAAAGGCTTATTCTGGAGAGGTGTCTAAACTGAAAAAAAAGATTGCAATAATCTTCCAGTGTATTCCCTCACCCGAATTACTCTTGAGTAGTGACAGACGGGGCCTCCTAGAGACACAGTACTCAGATCAAAAAAGTTCACCAGGTTACTAAGCAAAAATCTTACAATGTAAAATCTGCTAAATCATAATTAAATATTAGTGGTCTCCTTTTGGGCTTAGGAGGGGGCTGAAATACGTTATTTCAGACTCTCCCTTTCTCATAAGCTGTAAGCTGTCCAGAACTGAGCTAGTCTGTCTTCTATGCTCTTAGATGGATGAACTTCATTGTGGCCATCTGTAGATCTGCCAGGGTCTCCTTGATAGAAGGCATAGAGCCACACAGGTTTTTCACATGGCTGTCTGGTATTGAGTATCCAACTCAAGCTCAACCCAGATCAACCCTATGGCTTCAGTCTTCAATCTCTAAAATAAAGTGACAGCCTTGGCCACCCAGATACTCAGTGGGCAGACTGATGAAGTCACCGGTTAATAGGCAGCAATTAGACATAGCTGCACTTGTCTCTATTTGCCTTTTTAAGATAAGTTCCCTGCTTTACTTGCCTGCTGAAATAAATATTTATTGAGTATTTGTCACATGCCAAGCACTGTTCCAAGTGCTTTTACATATATCGACTCATTTAACCCTCAGAAACACTCTATATGGGACTTGCTAATATGATCCTCATTTTGCAGATGAAACTGAGCACACAGAGGCTAAGTTATCCAAGTTTTCACAGAAGTTATGGGACTAGGATACAAAGTCAGGCAAGACTGTCTCCAGACTTCCTGCTCAGAACTCTGCACTGCTGTTTCCATATTTAAAGTTACACAACATTCATTCAAATGCATGTAACTGCATATGCAAAAATCCATTATGTAAAGAGACAGCAATACCGTAGCAATTAAGGAAACATGGGGTAGATATTTAACGTATAATTCAACATTTTAAGAAAGAAGCACGCAATTATTAAGTGATAAGCTCAAGCCGTGATGCTCAAACTTTGGAATGGATGAGAAGCTTATAAGCAGCCCGGACACAGGGATTGTGATTTTGAATGTCTAGGTTGGGGGCCCTGGGAATTGGCATTTTGGACAATCACCCTTGCATTCTCAGGCAGCCAGGACATTCTGATGTAGGAGGCTCGCTGATCACACCTTAAAACACTGACCTAGGGTTTAGAACCATAATTCTGCCAAAAGACTCAGAACCCTAGAAATAGGTGGGTTTGAGTCCAGGTGTCCACGTGGGGCTATGTGACAATCTACAGCTTTTCCTCGGCTCATTTGCTCTTCATAAGATAAAAATCACAACGATTTCTGCACGAAAGTCCCACCTTAATTCAAGGTTAGCTCCAAGACATAGAAAAGCAAGAGTCCAATGCATAGGCTTACCTGAATACCGGAGTAGCCTGGGCAATGGTGAGTGAGGATAGCATTAGTTTTTGTCAAGATTTCCTTGGCGAGTAACGGGCATTCTTGGGTGGAACTGAAGGTAAGGTGCTTGATTTCAGCGAGACACCCCGGCTGCTCACCGGCGGCAAAGTTTACGAGAAAAAGAGAAAACGCCAGGAAAAAAAAAAAATTACAGAAAGAAAAAAAAAAGTTGATAAACGAGTGAAAGCGGCAGCAGGAGAAGTGGGGAAGGAGCGGGAGACGCAACAAAAGCGATTCGAGTAAGAGGCAAGAGGTCTGGGTCAGAGGAAGGGAGAAAGAACCCAGGGAAGGAGAAGGAAGGAGGAGCGTTGTGAGAGTGGCAGAGGGCACTTGAGGAGAGGGGACCCGCGCCGACGCTCGCTCCGCCCAAGTCTCGGGGCCCAGGCCACTGCGAAGGGGCGGCGCCCGGCGCGGAGGCTCCGCACCCACCCCTCGGAGAGGCGGTGCCCCTGACGGTCTTCTCTGGTCCCAGTTCCTGATTTGCCTCTCCTCCCGGAGGGTGGGAGGAGGGGGAGCGTCTCCCGGCATCCCACTCAGTCCGGAGAGAGACTTCCTCGCCCCAAATTGGAACAGAAGTGGCCTCCCAAGCTGGGCACCGGCCCAGAGGTTTCCGGCAGCCCAGTCGTCCCTAGTCGGTCGGCGTCGCCTGGGAGCCCAGCCGCCGCCTGTGGTTCTACACACCGCAGGATCCCCCCTCCCCGGAATACCTGGCGTCTCTCTGGAGAAAGCCAGCAGCACTGACCACTTACTCACCCGGTCTCCACAGTAGACGGTGTGGTTGGACTCGGTACTTTTGATCTGGAAGAAAGAAAAAAAGCATACGACAAGGGTAAAGACTTAAGTTCACAGGAGAAATCGTCCCTCGCCAGTCCCCTCTGTTACTCCCAGGTTTTAAAGATGCTTTGAAAGCGGTTTCCACTGAGGCACTTGTTTCCTATGGATCTGTTCGTCATTGACAAGGTAGTAAAACACTTAGAGTCTTCAGATAGTGCCTACTCATGTTTGAAACTGGATATCAAAGGGTCCTCGTCCTAGAGGGAGACACCCCCCCCATCAAAGTGGGCACACCTGTACACAGGACTACACATGTGAGCAATAATGCCATTGTTCGAATGCCCACATCTGCCGGGTAGCCATTCAGGAATTTCACACATGCAGCTCTATCCAGAAATTTGAATAATCAGGAAAATGATTACTACTTTACATTAAAAAATCTGAAGCACACCTTATCCCATAATGGCATCCTGAGGCATCTAGAACACTAGAAAGATCTAAAGTGTACCTTTTGCCCGGCTATCCTCACTGGTTAGGGTTTAGCTCACAAGAATTCCCTCTCTTTTACTCCTCTTCCTTTCTCAAACCCTTACCCACTGTCTTTTTTGTACTGCACTAGCGGAGCAGCACTTTAGCAGAAGATAGATACCCTTCCTTGGTGGATCACGGGTTACCTATCAATATCTGCTCCTCATCAGCGTCTGCACACTTAATGTGTGCCAATTTCTACACAGTAATTTTAGAAGCCAATATATTTCAATATCACTTGTAAAAAATTTTGACAAAATGCTGGGCCATGATTTTTTTCCAAATTAATTTTCTTTCCTTGATAGTTAAATAGTAGTTTGCATGTGTGTATGCCTACTCTTCCGATGAAAACACATTTGTTGTTTTAAAAAATGTTTCTTCACTTACTCCACTCATATATCCCTCCAGGGCTGGAAAAATGACTTTCTGATACTTCTCTCTAATCTTCTCAAAGTCACAGTCAGCAAAATTGTAGGTTAGCACCAGCCCTACCAGTTGCAAGATGAAGATCTTCCTGAAAAAAACTGACAGAACAAATAATAAGGCATCAGGCAATCTACTTGGAAACCCAATTCCATCCCAGTTTCACACTAAACTCTTCCCATCAACTCTGAATTGCCTCTAGATCTACAAGGCCTGCCTTAGGGGCAAACACCCGAGCACCACTCTTTGCCTCTCAATTCCAGCGCTCTTGAAGCCCATATTCACCCATGCTGTTGCCTTAAGTTGGAGTCTCCTTGATGCTCCAAAGCTTTCTGGCTCCACATATATAACACCTAAACGCCTACGGGCTCTTTTCTCCTAGGCCAATGATTTTCCTTGATGTCATTCTCTTCCTTTATAGAATTCTGAATTGATGACATGGAAGAAAAAAATAGGACTAGCCAAATCTATGGAATTTTAACATTAGTAAAATCATCAGGAATTTCCCTCACCTTCCTCCTTTTATCTTTGCCTAAACACTTGGTATGTGCCTGAATGTGCTTTAAGAAAGAGATACCCACATCTTTCTCCTACAGAGCCATTTCCATGGCCAAGCTCCTTTCTTGTTGGAGAAAACACCCCAAAACGGCAGCCCACTTTGAGGACTGGATACTGCTGCTTGTGCATGCTGTACACTCTGAGTATTTCCTCTGGCCACTTTCAACTAGTGCTTTCCCTCCTCTGTGGCTACTGAGAAAACTCATGGGTTTACTTAATGGGATACTTTGGAGGGTGGGTGCAGCCTCAGGCTCGGACTGTGCTTCCGTATGAAGGCATCAAATGTGCAATAGTGACCAGAACCTTAGGGGCAGAGGAGATAAGAAGCTGAAATGAATGGGAAAAGATCTGATGGGCCTTGCCCTCAAAAACTTACTTTTCAAAGCGCCCTTACCAATTTCAGGAAAGAAGCGCCTACTCTGGGGGTGCCTTAGGGGCTGCAGTCTCCTCTAGCACGTTTTATAGGTATGGAGAACTTTTAAAACCACAAAGTCCAGCACCCAGCCACCTGCACAGCCCCACTCTTCAGGCTGACTCCCAATGCGCAGTGCGCAGCGGTGCGCGCCCGGGGAAGGTGCTGTCCAGCGCGCAGCTCTCCCGGATGCGCGCACGATTCGTGCGCTCTGCGCCCCAGGCGCTTAGCCCCGCGCTGCGCAGCCAACACAACTTCTGAAGTCTCCGGCTTGAGCAGCGGCCCCAGTTTTAGGAACAGGAGAAGCAACAAGGGTTTGTACTCGCAAAGCCTTGTTAATCCAGAAAACGGAGTTTAAAAGCAGCGAAGTGAGGCAGGGAGACTGCCCGAGAGGTTGCCTAGCCGCCTTCTGAGCTCTGGCAACGCCAACAGACGGGCGAAGGGGCGGCAGGTCGACACCCACCGGGCTGCTGGGGGATAAACTCCGCTCCGCCCGAGCTCGGCCAGAGCCGCCCCGGGCTCTCCTGACACCCAGCTCCCCTCTTCCTCCCCAACACCGACTATTGCGTGTCAGAGCCTGCAGAGTTCTGGTCCTTGGGAAGTTTCTAGGAGTCATCGCAGGAGTCGCCGAGGCAGGGCGCTCCACGTGAGTCCTAGCAAATGTCACAGGCCACGCGGGGCCTGGGAACAACAGCAGGGGCTGGCGAGGGAAGCGGGAAAAGCACAGACTCGGGAGTGGGGGTGGGGTGGGGACTCGAGCCAGAAGTGAAATTTTTTTTCAAAAAAGGCACTCAACAGCTGTACCAGTACAGCTGGACCCAGTTCCCTGGTTAAGGCCAGGGAATAAAGGTCTTGGCACTAACAGGAGTATCGGAAAGCCGCTGATTCACCGCTGACTTCAAAAATGGGCTTTTCTGGAACCCCCCAAGTCTAGGATTTAAATGTCATGGCAGCATCCTTTGGAAGAGAAGTCCCTCCGCCCCTCTCCCCCATCGCCAACTTTTCAGGGTGTTGAGGGATGATGCCAAAGCCTGATTCATCTGCTGTGACATCAGAGGTGTTTCTGGTCGGCAGCTAGTAGTTGGATAGGCAGACGGGAGCTAGAGACACAGATTTCTTCACCGGATTGAGATATGCTGATGGGGGCAGGAACAGAAGAAAGCAGCGACTTGCATTCTTCTAGGGTGTAACTCGAGTAGCCTTCCTTCCTTTGTTTCTTGCTTTAAAACTGCATCTATGTCGGTCGTTGTAGAGATGAGGCAGACAGGGTGCCAACTCCGCTGGCGTCCTGGAAGAGATCTCTTTGCCAGTTAAACACACTACTAAACACTTGCGCCTGGGGCCCCCAATTTCCTTGTCTGTGGTTATGTGACTTCTTAGAGCACATCATTTTTCTGCTCTTGGTAGACTCCCAGTTGCCTGGGCATTTACAATCTCTCCCCGCTTGGCTCCAAGCTATTTTTGGAGCCTTATCTCTTTCATTCTCCTAGGCTTCTAACAAATAGTATCTGAAATTAATGTGCTCTAAACGTGCCCTCAGCGTTCTTCTTCCCAGCCTCACACCCTCAGGTGTTGGCATTCTCCCACCATTCAATGCTCATTTCACTGGACATCTCCTCCAAAAGTGGTCTGCTACCTGGATGTGACCCCACTTTCCTTTAAGCCATATTTATTTTGGGCTTCCCTCTTATGACCGCCATTCGTCATGTAATATTTCAATGATGTTTTTCAACCTTATCTTTTTATTAGACTGTGAGTTCTTTAGAAGCTGGAAATGTTTTATAATTGATTTGTTTGATATCAATTTACTTTTTCCAAAAACCGTTGGAGTGGCTTGCAATAAATGTGTTGGTGTCAGAAGGGAAAAACAGTCAAGACAAGGCAAAATAAAGGAACCTAGGAATAAAGGAAGTGAGGATCACCTATAGGGAAGGCCATAGAAAAACATTATTAAGAACTGGAGAATTATGGGGTCCGGCCCGGTGGCACAGCAGTTAAGTGCGCAGAGGCCCGGGGTTAGCAGGTTCGAATCCCGGGCGTGCACCGACACGCCGCTTGGCGAGCCATGCTGTGGTGGCGTCCCATATAAAGTGGGGGAAGATGGGCACGGATGTTAGCCCAGGGCCAAGCTTCCTTGGCAAAAAGAGGAGGATTGGCATCAGATGTTAGCTCAGGACTGATCTTCCTCACAAAAAAAAAAAAAAAAAAGAACTGGAGAATTAAGACAAGCTCAAAAGTGAGTTCTGATCTTCCAAACAACAATTGCAAAGGAGAGAATATGATGGGCTCTACAAGTTCATTAGGGCAAGCCAATTTTTCTTATGCCTGTGGTCATCATCAGCCACCATAGGGCTCAGGTTTACGTGCTACATGTTACAGATACTCAGTAAAGCCTCAATAGGTTGAAGTATATTAATCTTCTTTGAAGATCATTTTCAGGAAGCAAATTATTCCCTATTGAAAGAAATCTGTCTATAAAGATCTCTTTTTCTAGCTTTTCACTGCCATCATCCTCGAATCCACTTATGCCTTGCCTGGGACAACCATTCAGGTAAGCATCTCTGAAATTTCCTGGTAGACTGAAGAGATTCCTGTTTTTCTCTCTTTCCATTTGTTCAAATGCTGAAGGTGTGAACAGTATCTACCTTGTAGTTTGGGAAATCCTAGATTAGGTCAAAAATAGTGTCTTTCATGTGGTAGGAAACAAAAGTGAGATCATTTGTAGCACTCTGTGATTACTCAGAGAGCTTAGGCAATACTCTCACCCATGAGATGGGCCAGAAAATGACTTACAACGCAGTTCTCTTCTCAACTACCCTCACTAGAAAGATCTGTCATTCATTTATTTCCTTACTATTTTTATGTCTTGTTTTAATAATAGTTACTTTTTTTAATTCCCTTTTTCTATCCCTCCCTCCTTTTAAATATACTTCTTTCCAACTCTTCTTTTAAGTATCTTGAATATTTAAAGTAGCCTAATCCTCATGTAAAACTCAGTTTGTGTTTGAAGAAGATCCAAGTTGTCAGGAAAAAAGGATGCTGATTTATTTTATTTTACCTTATTAAATTATAGTCATTGGACTTAAAAAATGGAAGGGAGGGGCCGGCCCGGTGGCGCAAGCGTATGAGTGCGTGCGTTCTGCTGCAGTGGCCTGGGGTTTGCAGGTTCGGATCCCGGGCGCGCACTGACACACTGCTTGGCAGGTCATGCTGTGGCGGCGTCCCATATAAAGTGGAGGAAGATGGGCATGGGTGTTAGCCTAGGGCCAGTCTTCCTCAGCAAAAAAAGAGGAGGATTGGCAGATGTTAGCACAGGGCTGATCTCCTCACAAGAAAAAAAAAAAATGGAAGGGATATCAGATTATTGATAAAATGGGAGAGATCTCCCTCTATAGAGTAAGAAAAGTGGATAACACCAACCTTCACATGGTAATATTTTAGGTGGTGTGACAATGGACTTTCCCCAGGAGATGGGTGTTCTTTTGGGCCTGGACGCAAAGTGAATTGCTCTAGATCTTCCAGGAACTGGTCATATAATCACTCCACCTCTTGGTTTTCATATACTCGTGCAGAATATGTGGGCCATTCTTTCTTCCTTGATCTTCTACCTTCGTTGTTCATAGTCAGGTATAGTATTCATGTAATGTGAAGTGGTCAGTGTATGGTTTGTGATGACTGCAGCAGACGTCCATTTTGCCCATTAATTTTACATCATACGATGTACTTAAGCAGCCTTGCTGTTGGTCTGAACCATTGATTGGGTTCACCAAACTCTACACTTCTTCTAAGATCCTTGGGGGACATTTGTAGACCAGAAAATGGAGTGAGAGAGTTTCCTATGACAAACGCAAAAAAAACCATCTCTTATTTTATTTCATTCTCAGGCTGGTGACACCTGTATAATTAGCCTATGGCTGAGAAATGTTGCCAGATATTTTATTATTATTATTATTTTTTTTTTTTAAAGATTTTATTTATTTTATTTTTCCCCCCAAAGCCCCAGTGGATAGTTGTGTGTCGTAGCTGCACATCCTTCTAGTTGCTGTATGTGGGACTCGGCCTCAGGATGGACGGAGAAGTGGTGCCTCGATGCGCACCCGGGATCCGAACCCAGGCCGCCAGCATCGAAGCGCGTGCACTTAACCACCAAGCCACAGGGCCGGCCCATTGCCAGATATTTTAAAATTAGGGAGTGAAGAAGGCTAAATATATGCATGAAAATCTACTGCTTGCTAAAGAAACAGTCTTACCCTCAGCCAATTGCTTACTTTACTGTTTTTCTGCAATCTAATAGGAAATGAACAGGGAGAAGATTGTTCAAGAAAAAGGTAGGAGTTGAGCTTTCTTAGAATGCTTCAAAAGAGTTGTAGAAGAGGTCAGAGCTGAAGGATAGTTTCAATTTTGGATACCTTTGCAAGGATGTTTACTATGCTGGATATCTTCTCTTTTCCCTCCAGCTATAGTCTCTACCCTTCCCTATCCTACTTCGCATCCTGGAGAAGCTGACCCATAAGGACTACATCAACAGCCTCCCTTGACTTCCAATTTCTGGTGGGTTCAGCCCATGGGAGCTATTGGCAAGAGATCAGAGGGTAGGAGGACAGTGAAGTTGGGGATTTTAATTCACCCACTCCTTCTCTGTTGGCTCCTCACAGATTTGATGCTTCCCTCTCAGCTTCTGTTAGTTGATCTTTTCATCTTGCTACCTTCCAGGTTC